CAGACATTTGTGATTCAACAAGCTTATATATCAGTTCTGAAGAAAATGAACTCATGACCAAGTAAATAACTGATTTAGTAGAAAGCTGCAATGACATTCAGCATGTGACTTGTGAGTAAAAGCTGTGAAGAAACAGCTTTCTTCAAAATCGCAACAAAAAAAAGACTCCTTTTTTTTTTTTAATGCCTATATGTTTTCTCATATCTCTGTCACAAGAGTTTCCAACCACTGGATATTTTACAGGATCAGTCACTCTCACACAACCACAGCTGCTGTTTCAAAGAAAATCTTGAGCAGCACCAGTAAAAACAATGAAATTCTCCCCGTCACTTCCTTTAATTCAGTTTCTATTTTCATCACTTTTCACTGTGGCATGTAGATGCTACATACAACGAATGTGTGTGTGAATCTTCCAGACTTATGAGAAGAAAGATTTTGGGTCTTTCAACAGCTTGATGGCACTGGACAAGATGATGATCAAGAGATCTTGTCCAAATTCTGAGCTATGATCTTGACCATATCCCTATCAATGAAGATAGAAGAGTCACTGAAAATTAGAAACAACTATATTACATTATTCACATTTCCCCTTAGGAGTTATTTGTTCATAAGTAACTGCCCAAATGCCCAAAATATATAGCTGTCCTGGTTACCAGCCATTAAGAGGTAGCCTAGAACAGCCTTCTGAACCTAGGAGCACCCACAGCCAGGAGGACTCACTGAATCCCAAATCACCATGGTGGCTGAAGAGTCTGAGAATTTGTAATTTATCTGGAGGGCAACAGGTTGAAGAAAGTTTGCCTAGATCAGATTTTTTTGAAATGCTTTTTCTGCCAATTAAGGATATGTGGCAATAAAGTGATACTACTGGAAAGGACTTGCCCTGAATTTTCAGGCCGTTAAATTTCTGTGCATGCATGACTCAGGCATTCTGTCTGTGCATTAGATGTATATCCAGCTGTCATTCAAGAGCACAAGGCAGCATGCATAGCGCTCTCCTTCTAGTTTTTCCCATAGCGGCAACTTTGTGAAGTAGGTTGGACTGAGACAGACTGATTGGCCCAAAGTCATCTAGTGGGTTCCCATGGCTGAGAACAGATTAGAACCGGGGTCTCCCTACTCCTATGACTTCACCTTCATCATTCTACTATGCTAACTCTTTTGGACTTCTGCAGGATCTTAAACCTATCAGAGATTTCTCTCATTTATCCCCCCCCCCATACCGCCAAATACAGGAAATCGCACTGCTGTTGTTCAGTGATTTGCCTCTGAATTTCAGAGTTAGGGTGGAAAAAAGGAGGAAGAAAAATAGCTAGGGATCATTAAATGTCCATGTCTTTTGCTCCCACAGTGGCCCAAGTTATTTTCTCTGGAAACACTCTAAGCAGGGAAGGAGCAGAGCTGGAATCCAAGAGTGGCTGATATTAGGAAACAGAATTGGCCTCTACTAGAATCATAGAAGGGACTTTGAAGATCTTCTTGTCCAACCCCCTGCCCAGAACAGGAATCATCACCCCATTCTGGACAAATGGCTCACCCATCTTTTCTTGAGACTTCCAGGGATGGAGCAGGAGGCAGCCTGCAGGAGGCAGCCTGTTCCATTGCTTAATACAGTGTTGTCCAAACTTGGCCACTTTAAGATGAGTGGACTTCA